AAAAAAAAAAAAAAAAAAAAAAAAAAGCAGTTTAAGTACCCCCTGTTGTCGGGCATTTAGACGGTTTTGTAATTTGTAAAGAGAGCCTTCTTGCTCTCACTGTCTCAGATTCTATGTTGCTGGGTAAGGAAGAGGGTGGAAGAAGACCCAGATTCTTATTTGGGTCATTTGTAGTCTCTTGAGTGCTCCTGTAAATAACATTGGGATGACTTATAAATCTATAAATCTTTGCCTGCATCCAACTCCATCTTACGATACAAACGCAGATGCCAGAATCAGACAAATCTCAACTTCACTATTAGCCAATTGTGTGGTCTTGGGCATGTTACTCAACCCTCTGGCCCTTTCTTCAATGTAAAATGGAGATAATTACAGACCTACTCTTTTTTTTTTTTTAAATAAATTTTTTTTTTATATATAAAGACGGGGTTTCACCATGTTGGTCAGGCTGGTCTTGAGCACCCGACCTCAGGTGATCCGCCCGCCTTGGCCTCCAAAGTGCTTGGATTACAAGCGTGAGCCACTACACCCGGCCATAACAGACCTACTCTTAAAGATGTTGAAATATTGTAAATGAGATAACATAGGTTGTAGTGCAATGGTTGGCACATTGAAAGTTTTTATTACTATTGAGTAGTAATGGGATTACTAGGCCTGTGTTATAGTTCTTAATACCATATGGCCAAGCTGCTTTCCAGAAACATGTAGCAATTTGTATACATGTTAACAGTATATGCTGCCTGGCCGGGTGACGTGGCTCATGTCTGCAATCCCAGCACTTTGGGAGGCTAAGGTGGGGAGATCACCTGAGGTCAGGAGTTTGAGACCAGCCTGGCCAACATGGTGAAACCCATGTCTCCTAAAAATACAAAGTAGCTGGGCATGGTGGCATGTGCCTGTAATCCCAGCTACTGGGGAGGCTGAGGCATGAGAATCACTTGAACCCAGGAAGTGGAGCTTGTAGTGAGCCAAGATCTTGCCATTCCACTCCAGCCTGGGCAACAGAGACTCTGCCTCAACAAAACAAAACAAAAACAGTATATGGCACCTTTCCATATGGCACCAGTGAGGAGATTGGTCAATTTTTCATCTTTGCCCAGTCGGCTTATCTGGATCCTGGTCAAACTAACCTGAAGGCTCAGCAGAATCTCAGCTTTGCTCTCACAATCCAAGCATCCAACACAGAACCTCACCTCAGAGTCACCCTTCCCCAGGTGTCAGAGAAAAGAGCAAAGAGGTCAGAGAGAAATGAAAAGTTAAAGCATTCATGCATGAGAGTGTCTGAATATTTAAGTTCAGAAGTCATTTTTTCCACCTGTAGCTGAATGATGAACTAGAGGATTCACACTGTGAAGAATGGCCACAAACAAGATTTATCTTGTCTGCTTTATCCTCATCCCCACCTAGCACAAAATCATGGGAAGTGAGGGCACAAAGGCTGCTTTGTGATCAGCTTGCTCCAGAAGAGGCCCAGAGAGGTTAAGTTGCTTGCCAAGGTCACACAGCTGACGAGTGCCATCAAGAGCATCAGAGCCACAAGGAATCTGTGACTCATAGCCAGTAAATCTTATTCACGTCTACAACTCCATGTGTTTGTCTTCTTAGCTCCATTTACAACTTCACCAGGAATGTCAGCATGGTTAGTGGTAGGGAGTAGGAGACAGCACGCACTCACAAGTGGCTCTGAAAGCCAAAATCCACGAGCTGTGTGGAAGTCAACTGTGAGCAGAGATTGCACTGTTCGGCACTGTCATTCACAAAGGCCCCCATGGTCCTGCTGGAGGCTCATAGACCCTCAGAGAGGCTTCTCACTCACCTCCTTTCTGCAGCATTTCCATCTTTCTCCAGTTATTTTTTTCCTACATATGAAAACCCCCTGGAAACAGTCCAGTTACTTGAGCATTCAGTTTAATTAAAAAGAAAAAAGCAGCTGGTCGTGGTGGCACGTGCCTGTAGTCCCAGCTACTCGGGAGGCTGAGGTGGGAGGATCACTTGAGCCCAGGAGTTCTGGGCTGTAGTGCGTTATGCTGATCGGGTGTCCACACCAAGTTCAGTATCAATATGGTGACCTCCCAGGAGCAGGGGACTACCAGGTTGCCTAAGGAGGGGTGAAGCGGCCCAGGTCAGAAACGGAGCAAGTCAAAAAACTCCCATGCTGACCACCAGTGGGATCGTGCCAATGAACAGTCACTGCACTCCAGCCTGGGCAATATAGCAAGACCCCGTCTCTGAAAAAAAGAAAAGAAAAAAACAGCCGGGCACAGTGGTTCATGCCTGTAATCCCAGCACTTTGGGAGGCCAATGCAGGTGGATCATCTGAGGTCAGGAGTTCAAGACAAGCCTGGCCAACATGATGGAACCCTGTCTCTACTAAAAAAAACAAAACAAAACATTAGCCAGGTGTGGTGACAAGTGCCTGTAATCCCAGCTACTCGGGAGGCTGAGGCAGGAGAATTGCTGGAACCCGGGAGGCAGAGGTTGCAGCAAGTCGAGGCCGTGCCACCACACTCCAGCCTGGGCAATAAGAGTGAAAGAAAAGAAAGAGGGAGGGACAGAGGGAGAAAAGGAAGGAAGGAAGGAAAGAAGGGAGGGAGGGAAGGAAAAAGAAAGAAGCAAAGAAAGAAAGAGAGCGAAAAGGATGAGTTTATGAAGAACCACAGCAAACCAGAAGGAATCGTTATAACAGTTTTATTCAAGTCTCTGTGTGCTCTGGCATTGGGACCAGGCTGAGATCGGCATTACACTGTAATACAATAAGAGGTTTAGCCACTGGACCAAGCCTGCTTGGCATCCCTAGTTAACAATTTACAGTACCGTGAAAGAAAAAAAAAAAAAAAAGCCAAAGGAAAGAATCTGATAAGTTTCCTTCAGGACTTTTTCATCTTTAAATATTGTTGACAACATACAATAACTTAAATCCCAAAGCAAAATGGGAATTCAAGGACACGGGGCAGGACACGTGGGCAAGACACTGGAGCAGAGGAGGTCTAGGGATAAAAACTCGTAGCTAATTACAGAGGAACCAAACAAACACGTACGTGAACTTTCACTTCACCTAGACTTAAAAGCCCTAAGGGGGAGGAAAATCCCAAAGAAAGCTTTTCTGTGAACTAAGTAAAACCCATCTCCAACTCCTTTCCTTAATCCTCTAAAAGATTGCCTTAGACTATAAGATATCTGGGGGTCGGGGGTGGGGGAGTGGTTGTGAGTCAATGTGCAGGATAAGTAGTGAGGGAAATCAGACAAGAAAATGAGCAAGTTCATCACCTCCCTTCTTTGCCACAACTGGTTATCAAGGGCATGTGGCTCAATGTGCCAGAAAGGCAAAAGCCTGACTTCAAACGCCCAGGGAGGAGACACGAGCTACAGTAAGGCTTCCAAGCTCAAGAGACTAGGAGAAAAGTGAGAAGCTGGAATGAAGAGCCACAGTGGGGCACCTGCGGGCTGGAAACAGGAGAGAGAGGCTCACAGCCTTCAGTGGTGTTTGGAGAAGAGCTACAGAATTGGTATGTCCAACTCCCGTGTGCTTCAAACCCCTGGAGTCACTGGAGAGGCAACAGGGAGAGGAAGGCAGCCAGCAGCATCGAGGATGTCAGCTGAGACCTGCACTCCAGCCTGGGTGCAAGTCCAATCACAGGCAGACGACAAGCGAGCCAAGGACACAATTCCTCCTTGGGCAAAGGGCAATCTCAAAACCTAGGTGGACCTGAGCTAGGCCAACTTTATCTCAGAGCGCCTTAGCAGTGGCTTAGAAATGTGCTCAGAGGAAAAACAGAGATGGCTTTGGGACAAAGCAGATCAGCAACTTGCTTCCTCGCTGTGTGACCCTGGGCAAATCACACAACTATCAGAGCCTCAGTTTCCACATCCTTAGATGGGGGTAAATCCATCTCCCAGAATTATTGTAAGGAGTCAAAAATTATATATATATATATATATATATATATATATATACACATATGAATTGCTAGAATAACACTCCCCACATGGAAAAAGTTTAATGATTTCTTATCATTTATTACTAGTCTCCATACCTAGGCCGGGATACATCTATGCCTCACTCTGATGGTGATGAAGAAAAGAGCTACAGCCAGCATGGCTTCTGAACTGGAGGTAGAGAGAAATGATGAGGACGAAATAAAGATGACAGAGGATGATGAGGGTGGTGGAAATGATACTAGCAGAGGATGTGACGAGCCAAATTCTGAAGACTCATTGTGTAGGCACAGAGCTAGGGAGAGTGGCTCCTGGCATGCCAGGGAGTGAAAAAGCCTCCATTCGCTTCAGTCTCTTCTGAAATCTGGAAGAGAGAATGAATGAAGTTTATTCACTTCTCCTAGAATTCAAAGATGTTCCAAAGAGGTTTAAGATGAGAATCTAAAGGGGCCTCTCTGCCCTAATCACTTCCCTTCTCCGCAGAGTGCACACACTCCCACAAGTGTCCTCAGGGCTGCAAAGAGCCGGAAAGGCAGGCAGAGAACACCAAGGAAATGTCACACCCAGGTGTAGATCCAAAGTTAAAAACTCCCAGATGTTTCCCTGCTATAAGTCTACACTCCTATTTAAACTCCAGCACTCCCAGAGAGCTGCTGTCTCACTCAGGACTTGAGGGGAAGGGTAAGAAAAAAACATGAAACCTATTTCACAGTGGTACTTAAGTCCCTCTCACAGGTCCAGGTGAGGGGCAGGCAGAACTGGGTCTAGAGTAGAGTGAGGCCCTCGCCTTTGGTGCAAAATATAAGGGGGCACCAAAAAAAGCAAAAGAACTTCACTAATCATGATAAATCATATTGCAATGCAATTTTTTTAAAAAATCAGAGTTATTGAAAAATTCCATGATGAATGCAGTATCAAAATTTTCAGTCAGGCTTTGTCTGGGTAGGTGTCCAGGTGTGAAGGATCTCAGGAACGGCGGCATACTACTTCAGAAACCTAGCCTTGGACTTTGTGAGCACAGGGCAAGGAACACCATGTCCCTGGGACCTTCGCTCCCCAGGGCTCCGCTTGTGGCTACTCTGACCTCTGGGTTCAGAATGCCCACACACCTACCCTACATGTCCCACTAGCAGAGGCCTGTCTGTGCACACCTGGAATTGTATTCTGGTGTCCCATCCTGAGACACCTAACTAGTTAGACACCTATCATGTCCACACCTGCCAATCAGCCTAGTAAAACTAGGTGGTGAGTGCTTTCAAGGAGGGCAGGTCAGACAAGACAGGTAGGAAGATGGGTCGGGGAAAGGCGGGTCTGTTTCCAAGGGTTAACAAAGACGTGTGGAAAAGCTCAGCTCCCATAACCAGCTGGCCCCCAGGGCTCTTCTCTTTCCAGCTCAAGGCCCAAAGCAGGCTTGCAGGGGTTGGGGAACCACAGGCAGTAAGAATCAGGAAGGACCAGTCCTACTGGCTCCTGATCACAGAGTGAGCCCAACATGCTGCCGCGCAAAGCCAGGGTTCCCTGAACAGCCTAGGGAGGCCAAGGTAGTTTCAGGGCCCAAGAAGGGAAAAGGATGAGGAAGGGTGTGGATATGACCATCAATATCTCATCAGGACAAAATGAGAAACAGCAGTTTGAGAGGAAGTCTGTAAGAGACTCACCTGGCCTGCATAGCCAACTGGAAGTCCCGGGCTGGGTCATGCTAATTAGGCACCTAAACCCTGTTACTTAGCCTTAATCAGCAGGATTTCCACTTCCTCCTCCTGCCATCCAGGTAGGAATACCAGGGGAAAGCCCAGGACTGAGGTCCTCCCCAGAAATAGCAATGGGTTTTCCTTTCATATGTGAATTTTCATTAATATGAATTCCTAGTCTAGGAATATGCTGATCTGAAAGAAGAGATGCATTGGGTAATGTGTTTCTAACAATAGCATACCTTGACAAAGACAAGTCATTCTCAGACCTAAAGCCAAAGAGAGAGGCAGGTACCTTAGGTTAATCCATACGAAACAGCTGATATTCGACGGTTTTTAACATAAAACTGTACATATATTTCATACACACGCACACTTCTCTGCACAAGGGAAGCCATCTAGCAAGGCTGCAGTTTCTGTGCAGGTCTCAGGGCTCCAGGACCATACATTTTAAAGTTAGAAGGGCTTCGGGAGGGAAAGTAGATAGTATCGTCCCCAGCTCACAGAAGGCTTTTAAAGTCCAGAGAGAGAAAAAGATGTGCAAATTCACACACCCAGGAAGCAGGCAGCTCTAATCACCAGGTTCCTGCCAGCACGGTTTCCAACCCAAGGTGTGCCTTCACAGCCATCCAGTCTTCAGTGCCTTCTGCTCTTTGCTTTGTTAAAAGTGAGCTGGATGAGTTAGGATGGTTAGGGAGGTGTTTCCTTCACACAGGGGAAGGAGAAGGCAGGGAGGACTCCAATGCGGAGACCACAGAGGCAAAACAGTTCCTGAAAAGTCAGGTCTAGATGTCCTAGGGGTATCTAGGACATCTAGATGTTGCTCATTGTGTCTCTGAGCAACAGCAGCCTGAGGGAAAGGGGTCTTAGTGACCATGACATATGTCCCAAGGACAAGGGGACCCTTTTCCAAAGATTCTTCCAGGAATTGGGATGATTCCAGGCTCTAAACAAATCAGACTGATGACCCCAAGAAATCAGAGACAGCCAACTGTCACTCTGACATTGCTACCAACCTTCCTCTCCCATTTCCTTCTCTGTAAGACACAAATGGTGAGGATGACATTGGCAGACTGTGTCCGACAAGTTAAGTGGGGGAATCAGGAAGGAATGCTTGTCAACACCAGGTGCTACATAAATGCAGCAGAAGGGCATGGGCCTGATGGGCCCCCATTAGTCATGCTCAGCCACCTCCAAATCACTCCTCTTCCAGAAGCCAAAGGACAAAAGGCAAGTTTCCTCCAGGCAAAGGTCTCAACTTCAGCAACTCACCCTGTAGAGATGAAGCAAGCTCCCTCTAGGAGCTGGCAAGGAGCTGCGGTGCTTCACTGACCTTCTCTGATACATACACCCAACGCCCTTGAGAGGGAAGGATGTGATGACTGCTTTTAAAGGAAGGAAATCTGAGAGGGGCTAAAGAGACAAGCCTATGGCCACACAGCAAAAGCAGAATGGGGAATGCAGCCAACCTGTTCAGTTCTCAGAGCCCGGTGGCCCCACTCAGCAATTAGTCCAAGCCACTTTTTAATTTCTCTTCACTTGAATTTTCATCTTTAAGCATTTCTGCTTCTCTACTAGCAAGTGTATCAAATGTACAGGGAAAATGATGTCATTTTGCAAAGGTCAGGAGGAAAAGTCAGCACTATTCTGAGTTGTCCCAAATGTAAGATACCATTGTTGCTATTATTGTTACCAGAAGACCCTAGGGATGCCACAGGATGCCAAGTGAAGGGTATCCACCAAAGCCTCTCAGAAATAACATCCAGATAACTGAGGTATCTACTCAACCTCCTGGCAGCAGTCTGGATCCCCAAGGGGGTCCCCAAGGGATAATCCGAATCAGTGGTAGGAGCTGAAGGATCCAAGGAGCAGGGGCAGAGAGCAGTATCTGTTCCTATCACCATATTCCATGTAGTGAGCACCTTCCAAGAGCAGAAGGAATATGTCTTTGTGCAAATGGAAGGCAGGGGAAGCCAGGGCCAGCTACTGCCACTCAAGTGGCTTCATCCACAGCTCCAGGGCCTGCTCCTGACAAGGACCACAGAGCATGGGAACCCTAGTGAGTAGAAAGCCACTGAGACCTGCTGCTATACAGATCCTCAGCCTGTCTCCAGCCTTGCCCCACAGAGAGAGGGCGGCAGTCAGGGGCACATCAGAGGCCAGGTGTGTAGGAGTTGCGAGATGGTAACTGTTCCCTCTTCGTGGATGCTCACAGCAGCATCATTAGATAACCCTGCTTTTGCTTCTTTCAGGTACCATTATTTCCTTAGCAAAGCCCCAGGCTTCCTTTGTCTTTCCCCACAGTGGACAAGTAAGGATGGCATTCAACCTCTCACTCGATGGCGGGTGGCCATCATTCAATCTACACTACATCAGTTACCTACATCTTTCCAGGAAAGATGGCTGCAACCTAACACAATGGCAAAAGTTAAAAACGAGCAAAGGAAAAATCTCTGCCTCAGACCATAAAGCACTGTGTACAGCCAGCATGGTTTGGAGGGCCACAAGAGGGCTATTTAGTGGAGCCTAGTATAGACAGATGTGTTCGTGGCTTAGACTGGGATTATGGAGGGCCCAGGGGAAGGAGGGCACAAAACAGACTTTTTATGTTCTTCTCCCCATCAAGACTTAAGAAGGATCACTAGGTTGGCTAGAACTTCTGGTAAAATTCACATTTTTCCCTCCTAGCCCAGGAGTAGGAGAATGGGGGCAAAAAACAATCCTTTGCATCTTGGTTTCACTGAACAAAGAGAAGGACACAGAGGAGAAGCGGTAACAAAACCTTGGCCAACAAAACCAGTAGCGCCTCCCCGTCCAAGACTTGGTAGGCCCCTTGAACCAAAGTGCTAATGAGCTCATAAAGCAAGGAACAATGAAAACCAAGGTCACCCCTTTCATCAACCCCAAGGCAGGACATCTCTCCTAGTTATAGAGAAAGCGCAGCGACCGATTCATCACGGTTGCCAGCTGCACATCCAGGCAGCAAATGCAAGGAACCTGCTGAGTGACCTCCAACGTTGCCAGAGAAATACTCCAAGACAAAAGACAGTGGAGCAGCATTCAGAGAGTCTCCAGGGAAGACGGGAATGACCTTGAGACTCTACTCCCAATCAAGTCATCATTCCCACATAAAAACAACTGTTCATACGTAACACAAGAGGCCTCAGAGTAGTGGCATGGTGAGGACATCCGTGAGAAAGCTTTAGAGGAAGCTCAACTTTCAAGTTAAGGAAACAACTTCCAGAAACGTCAGGGTTGTCTTCTGCTATCCTTCCTACCCAGCTCATGTCCAGAGCCCAGCACAGGCCTTGGTCAGTTTCCAGTATGAGGGACCTAGAGGTGATCGTATATCAGTGGCTCCCTGGGCACCCTATAAATAGCACTTTGCCACATGCATTTACAGAAGGTACTCCTGCTGGCTCCATTTCACTTCAAGGGCATCACAACATGGACGGCCCAATTGAGAGTGAATTCCCAACTCTCAGTGCCCAGGGCCCACCTTCGTATGTTATTCTGGGGCACTGCGTGATATCTACTAACCAAACACATAACCGAAAGCCCACAAACTCCAGGGATTAGAGTGAAGACCAAAGGAAGGGAATAACACATAGTTTAGACAAAAAAAGGAACAGGAATTTTGTTTCTGACTTAGAACTGGCACCAGTGAGTGAGTCCCCCAAGAAACTAGTCCTGGGATGAGCATATGATTGCATCTGAACCTGGTCTGACCAGATCCTGACCCCAAGCAGGTAAATGGGTACCTTCAACAGTTGCTGGTTTGCCCTTTGAGTGTTTCCAAAAAGAATAAGGACATGCTCCATTAACCTTTTCACTGCAACTTCACTGTATTTTTCCCAACACCCCCATCCCCCTGTTCTCACTGGGGCAGTTCCCCTTTCCACCTGTGGGCTCACATAAATAGGTAGGGCACCTGAAATGCAGATATGTAGTGCCAGGTCTATCAAGCCCTATGACCCCACACTGGGCCACCTCGCTTTCAGTCTTCCAGCTAGCATGAAAAGGCTTAGGACACAGAAAAGCTCCCATCTCGAACCAAGCCAGATTCCGATTGCTGGGTGTTGGGGGAGAGCGGAGGAGGAGCAAAATCAATCACAGAACATTCAATACTGGTGTTTGGGAAGCCGAACTCAGGGCTAACAAAGGGACCCCAGGACAGCTCTTTGCACACCTAGCTGGCTGAGGAGAGGGAGCAGCAGACAGATTTGGCTGAGTGACTCTGCAGGGTCACTCTAAAGGCAAGGAAGACTGTGGAGGGTGGGGGACATGCATGCACCCCTCCCTCCCCTACACAGCCAGAACTGATGGCCACAGCCCCTCCAGTGGACATGGGCAGAAAGACCCTGCAGGGCAGGAGACCCTCCGAAGTGGCCCTGTCCCTTCCATCTTCAAAGTGCATTATCAGTGCAAGAAGTAGGGCTGGATCTCAGGGGGTCCAATACTGAGAAAGGGCTATGCCCGCCAGCTCCCCCCGTCTCCTCCGGCTGTCCCCCTTGCCCACCCTGATCCTTTTCATGCTAAGACCAGAACTCCTGCTGGATCTCGTAAGGGGCAGGCCTGTGTGTGTTCAGTTCCGCTCTGCATAGCGGCACAGTGCTGTCCTGACTCTGCCCCTCTGCGTCCAGGTCCAGGAGCGTCCGCTCGGCAGGGGGCAGTGGCCCCGCCTGGAACGGGAGCAGGGCTGGAAGTCCAGGCCGCTCCTCCACAGTGCTGCTACTGCTAGCAAAGCAGGAGTCCAGGTTGCTGGGTGTCTCTGTGCTGGAGCTGTTGGCTGGGGAGGTGCTGCGGGCGTGGCTGGGGGACACAAACCACCAAGGGTCCAGCCGTTGCCGGTTGGCAGAAGGGCGCGGCCGAGGCAGAAACTCCAGAGTCTTGGGTCTCTCCAAGGTAGAGTCCTGCTGAGTGTTCCAGCGCCTTGGAGTTGGGGGGAAGACCACATTGGGGTCAGGGAGACGGGGGAATTCACCTGGGTCTCGGCTGGGACTGGGGGTTTTCAACATTCCTGGTCAAAAAAAGGCAAAGGGAGAGGCATCAGAAGATGCACCATATTTTCAGGCTAGATATCCACTACTCCCCCACAGCACTACCAAACCCCTATGCGCTCAGGAGAACATGAATCAGCAAACATTTGTGGAGCATCTACTATGTGCCATGCAGTGGGCTGGGAGGTACTGGGGACACAATAGTGTCATGTGTCACAAAAGAAGGCCCGGATCCCTATATCTGGTAAGAATAATAGGATATATGGGGGTCTTATCTGTAATGAAATAATTTAAGGCAGATGTTGGCAAATGACACACAAGCTGGCCACCTGTGTTTATAAATGAAGTTTTAGATGGGGTATAGTGGCACATGCCTCTAATCCTAGCACTTTGGGAGGCCAAGGCAGGAGGATCACTTAAGCCCATGAGTTCAAGACCACCTTGGGCAACATGGTGAAACTCCATCTCTACAAACATTTTTTGCAAAATTAGCTGGGCATGGTGATGCATGCCTGTAGTCCCAGCTACTTCGGAGGCTGAAGCAAGAGGATGCTTGAGCCCAGGAGGTCAAGGCTACAGTGAGCTATGATCATGCCACTGCACTCCAGCCTGGGTGACAGAGTGAGACTTTGTTTGAAAAAAATGAAAACAATAAAATTGTATTGCAACACAGCCACATCCAGTGTCTGCTTTCCCACTACAGCAGCATTGTTGAGTAGTTACAACAGAACCTGTATGGCCTCCAAAGCCTAAAATATTTACTGTCTGGCCCTTCACCAAAAAAAGCTTGCTGACCCCTGACTTAAGGGCTCATCTCTTTGTTCATTCATGGTATAAACATGTGACGGGAACAGAGCTAGGTATCAGAAGTCCAAAGGTGAGTCACGGAGGGTTTCTGTTCCCAAAGAGGTCACATATCTGAGCATAACCAAAGAACAGGAGGGCAGGTCATGCCAATGGTTAAATACAATTGTTGTTGACACTTAAATCTCATTGAAAGGATACTATTATCCCCTCTTTCCCTACTGGATTAGAGGCTGTTTCCAAGACAGACTTAGGTCTCCCAGGGAGCAAGAGATGGTGACAAGAAAGACCAGGGATGAGTGTGTGTGCCGAGGTGTCAGGTCTCAAGTGGAGAGGACAGGCATATGCACAGGAATAGCAATTTACCTGGACACATCTCCAAACCTGAAGAGGAAGGTATGAGTCAGGGGTGAGTGCTGAAAGGTGTGATGAATAGGTGGAAGCCTGCCTTCTGAGTGTGTGAACTAATGCTATAATAAGAGGCAAAATCCCAGCTATGTGGCAGAACATACCCTTCCCAGCTACAGTGCAAGATTCCTTCCTGGTAAATGCATCATCCTCCTCAAGGAAAAACTAGACTCCTGCCCTTCCTGTGCCCTGAAAACACTACCCTACCCTAAGACTCAGGGCCTGGACATTCCAAAGGAGTCCCAGGTCTTCTGATTCTTCCTGCCTGTCTTCTCTCAATTCTCAGGGAAGACCCCCTGAGGCACAGGTCAGAGAGAAGACAGCCAGCCCTGGCCACCTCCCTGATCCCAAAACCACATTTCTTAATTGGCTGAGTAAGAGGAGGGAAGATGTTCACTCAAATCCAGAGGTGGAAAGAGAAAATGAGGCCTGCAAACGGAGACGTACAAAGAGAAGAAAGAGAAAACAGGAAGAATTCTCACCTGCTCCAGGACTGGGGCTCAACCCATTGCTGGAGGGGCTCCTGCTGGCTAGGAGGGCCACTGGCTTAAGGGCCCCATCAGAAGGAGTCCGCCGGTGACTGCTGGGCTGCGAGGGGGCGGTGAGGGTGACATGGGTGGGAGTCAGAGATTGGTTAGGATCTTGTTTGAAGCGCTCCACTCGGACATTGACCAGGGGGTTGTGGGTACACGGGGTCAGGGGAGGGGCCTCTACTGGGCTGACTGGCATCTCATACACGACGATTTCATCGCTGTCGGAGCGCAGCAGGGAGCGTGTGGAGTTGCATTCGGAGATGGAGGAGAGGGAGAGCAGCGTCAGGGAGGCAGAGGGGTCTCCTAGCAACAGCATGGGTTCTTCCTTCTTGAAGAGTTTTCGGGATGGGGGGCTGGTGCTCCGACGAGGACGGCTGGACCTCTGAAAAAGACCCTCCCGTCTTTTCTTCTCCTCCCGGGCTGGTGGCTCAGGCTCCTCCACAGGAAGCAGCTGGCACTTGCCAGCTTCCAGCAAGTCAAACCCTAGGCCTGTGGCTGCCAGAACGGCTCCACAGCCGAGCAGAGCCACCTCGCAGCGGCGGTGGTGAGCACCACCCCGCTTGAGGCTGTTGGTTGGTGTCAGCTGAGGGGTACTGGTGGCCGAGTTGACTGGGGTGGGCTCCTCATGGATTCCATCACTGGAGGGGCCATCCCCATCCTCTCCACGAGGGAATGGGATACAGAGGTAGGACTGGTTGGGTGAATGCTGTAGACGACTGTCTTCACTCCCTGGGCCTTCACTGTCCTCATCCTCTGTGAAGATGACAGGGGTGGGAGAGAAACAGGAAATGCAAATGAAGTGGCAGGTATAAGAATCTGGTCCTTTCCCCTAACCCAGGCCTCCTGTCTCAGTGTCAGGGACACAAAGGTCCAGTGGTGTGATGAGCAGGACATGGAAGTGAACACTGAATCAAGAGGACTTTATCCACCCCCCAACATAGGGAAACCACTCTCCATTCCAGAGCCCATTTCCTTATGAGCAGAAAAGAAGATCCGTTAATTGGCTGCTTCTTTCATAAGGGACCTGTGATGGTCACTTGGGTATCCACTTGACTGGACTGAGGGATGCCTACATGGCTGGTGAAGTACTGCTGCTGGGTGTGTCTGTGAGGCTGTTTCCAGGGGAGACTGAGAAGTGAGTCAGGGGGTAGGGAGAGGAAGACCCACCTTCAATGTCGGTGGGCACCACCCAAGTGGCTGCCAGCAAGGCGAGAACAAAGCGGGCGGGAAAAGGGGGATGCTGAGCTTGCTTAGCTTCTTCTCTCTCTTTCTACCTTCTGGAGAGGGGCACTTTTTCTCCTCCTGCCCTTGGGCATAGAGTCCAGGTTCTTCAGCCTCTGGACTCTCAGACTTGTACCAGAGGTCTTTCAGGGGCTCTCAGGCCTCAGACTGGGGGGGTTTCCCTGCTGGTTTCCCTGGTGTTAAGGCTTTTGAACTGGGACTGTGCCACTCTACTGCCTTCCCTGGGAGCGGCACTACAGGCTTTTCCCATTCTCCAGCTTGCCGATGGCCTATCATGGGACTTGGCCTTTTTAACTGTGTGAGCCAATTCTCCCTAATAAAGTTCCTTTTGGTTCCTATTGGGTCTCTCCCTCTGGAGAACCCTAATACCGGGCCCTTAACACAAAGTGCAGTATGAGCTTCTAGAACACTGAACATTCTAGAACAGAAACATTCCCAAAGTTTTCGTACCTTAAAATTAAAAGGGCCTCTGGATTTCTAGAACAATGGCCTAGCAAGTTGTCTTAGGACCAGCCTCCTGAAAGGATTAGAATCCCTAGTGCAGAACAAACCTACTCTATTGAGTGATGTATTATGACCTTGGAAATCTACAGAGACAGCACTGTCTGAGAAACAGCGTGGAGAAGCACCTCCCCATTCAGTCATCACAGGGCAACAGGGGAAGAGCTTCCTGGGAGGAAGGCTGCAGTGTCCTTACTGCCATCCCCCACTTTGTGGACTTGCCACACTGGGGAACTAAACCCAGATACGGTAAATGGCTGACATAAGGCCTCACCCTTCTTCATTGCTCTAAGAAGACTACCACTGGTCCCTTGGGATAGAACTCCAAGGGCAGGCTCCATGACAGCAGGAGGAAGAAATGATAATTTGGGAAGACTCAATGAAATGGGAGAAGAGCAAACTAAGAAGAGACAGGGTGGGGGGCAGAGGTTGAGTAGAAGGGGAGACAGCCTCCATGAAGCAGTGCTAGGGGTCCTTAAATGGTCCTAGAAGCTTGGGCAAGAACACCCTGAGGGAGCAGGGAGAGAGCCAAGACAAGAGCCATGCTTACCCATCTCCATAAGGCTGGTGAACCCTGGAAGGGCCGGGCTACTCCTCGGGCCCTTCACCAGGTTGGGGGCACTGGATGACCACTGCTTATATCCATCTACCAGGGACTTGAGGCTGAATCAGAGGACAAGAGGAAACTGTTAGAACTGGTTACCTTCCTTACTCAACCCTCAGCTCCATGGGTCTATGGAGACATTGCTCCCTACCTGCTTCATTCTACCAAAGAACCTTGGAGTACATACAGGCAATGACTCTTACCAAGCCCACCTGCTTCACAAACAGAAATGTACATGCTCCAGGGAAGAAAGGGCAGTGACATGACCCACCCCCCTCGCATGCTGCTATGGAACTATAGAAAGAACTAGTGGGCAGGCTGGCAAACAGAAAGAACAAGGATGGTCCTCCTGGCAGGGGTCTTGCCTCAGCCCATCTAAAGGGAGAGGCACTCAAAGCAGACACTGAACACAACACATTGTGGCATTACAGTTACTGTGATGCAAAGACCTGCGAAGCCAGGCAAGCGCCGGGCAGCCAAGCTAGCAGAGGTGGACCAGGCTACTCCACGCACAGCGTTTCTCAGGCTCTCCTTCCAAGCTTTATGGCATGCTTAGCGAACTTTCAAAGCCATCCCCTTTTCAAAATGAAAAATCAACCAACAAAACCACGCCAACCCAGTGCACTGTGGGACAGACCTATGTGGGTAGTGCACAGTGCTGAAGCAGAGCCCTCGGTTTGTCTGGGGATGGAGAGACAGAGGACAGGAGCTCGCTTTCAAATCCCTGTAATCAGCTCATAGGGAAAGCCGGTAACTCTCCGAGGATACAGCCTGGGCACCCTGCCAACCCCCTTGTAGGAGGCAGGAACCAGAGGCCTAGAAGCACTGGTCTTTTCCCTAGAGAACAGTAAAAGGGAGGACTGAGGAATCTATGGGCTATGGTTGCCCTGCAAATATCGGGATTACGACCAGAGTGGCTTTCTTTTTTTAAGGCTAGAAAGAATCATTCAACTAAAGCTCACTTCCCCCAAAGTCCCAGCCATCTTGAAAGAGACAGAAGGACCAACGTTTTCCCTGACCTCGGAATTGTTTCGAGTGCTATCAGAAATACCAGCAAATTAAAGTACGTCCCAACCACCACTGGTTTCAACCAAAATATAGAGCAAGAGACAAGCATGCTGCCAAACCCACAGCCTGGGGCTTCCAACTGAGACTCTTGTAACATCACTTCCAGCTCTGGATCCAGGAAAATCCAGACGAGTAAAGTCAAAACCAGTGCTGAAGACCAAAGGATAAATAGCCACATATTGCCTCTCGAAAACCAAGGGTGCCAGGAGTATCCTAATTGGAGTGGTCAGTGGAGTGAAGAATAAGGTAAAATTAGATCAACACAGGAATTTTCCCAAGGTGCACAATGGTACTGCTTACAACAAAAACAAAAACAAAAAAGTCAGTTCAGCCCTGGCAATAATGAGGCTTGATTCTATGGGGAATGCTGTGAGAACAAGGAAATGGAGGGGAGACTGTTACCAGGACAGTTGGTGGAAGGGTGAAGATGAGACTCACCCCAAGTGGAAATGTGGAGATTCTGATGGGGTACTTAAACCATTAGCTTTCTCACGCCTCTGAGGGGATCTTCAATGAATAAACAGAATCAGTAGCAGGCAATGGAGGGCACATTCAGCTCAGCCTCTCCCACACCACAACACCCAAGGCTGCACTCACACTACATCGCCAGCTGCCTTCCCACTGTCCAGCTGCAAAGCCCACACCATGAAAGGATCTTAACAAGATGGTCCTGTTTAAGCCACGACAGGCCCAGGACAAAGATCCCTGGGCAGCTGCAGCATAGTTGCAGGGGGCCTGTGAATCCACAGATACCCAAGCCGTCTATAGACAGGTATGCATGTTTTGGACAAATACGTATTTTTTTTTAAAAGAATGAGGATGCAAAACTCACTTAACATTACTGAATTCAAAACGGCTTTTGGTCATCACATATTTTCTTTAGTCAAAAGGTACTAAAACTAGAAATATTATCATATAGAAGTTCTCAAAATTTCATTAAAGAGGTCTTCACTCAAGTCTGGGTAGAATATACTTTTATTTCTTCAATGGGAACTGAGAATCATGAAAAAAGTCAGTCATGTATTTTTTTAATTCTTTCAAAAGTTTGTGAGGAAGAAAAAAATTCCAAAGTTAACATTTTGCAATGTGAAATAAAGATAATTTACTACCAAGACAAAAAAAAAAAAATCTTTAAATGAAGCAGAACCATAGGAATTGTTAAAATCCATAGCCAGCCCGGTGAACTCTATCTGGAATCACATTAATGTCAAGAAATATCAAGAGACTCAGGGTGACTGAGTTTCTCAGACCCAGCTCAACCCCACTCTAGCCTAGGGCTCAAAGGACAAACTAGAGAGCTCTCACTTAAAACGTAGTGGAAGAATCTGCCATCCCCCAAGGATTCCATTGCTGGAGTCTTACACAGCTGAGGTAGTTTGCCCTACATATCTAAACTTTCTGCTCAAAGGTATCTAGTGACTTCCAAAGCCTAGCTTCAGAGAGTCAATCCTTTATGAATAAAAGTGTTATTTTTACCTTCAGCTCAGATCTGACATGGGAAAGTAACAGATTTTGGACATGAAATCTTAGTATTTAAAGGACTACCAAGGCCATTTGCAGGTTCAGGGCACGTGTAAGGCTAATACTCAACCTGAGAAGCTCTTTAGAAAGTCACTAAAAAACGCAGAAGGAGACTACTGGCTATCCTTGCACATATTTAATAGAAACATCAAGAAATACTGTGCCAGCTTCTAACACCCAGAATGTGAAGTATAAATGGTTCCACCCATTCTTTGGGTATGATGTAAAATTGCATGAGAAGCAGTAAGTGTCATCACAGCTAATATCTACATATGCTCACTATGGGCCAGCTCATCCTCTCTGCACTCACAAAGATGAACTTATTTAATCCTTGCCTCAACTCCATGAGACAGGTAATAATGTTATCCCATTTATAAATTAGAAAACATAAGATCACACAGCTAGGTGTGGTGGCGCCAGGGTTTACGCCCAGGCAGTCTGGTGCCAGAGTCAAAGATCTTCACTACTACACTATGAGTGCATATCCTGTGAAGAACTGAGGCTCAAGGGAGAATCTGACCCCTAGGCTTCAAGCCCACAAGTGAGAACATAGGCACATTCAAAGCTCTCAGCCCCCTTGTGCCCTGCCCAGAGGAGGCCATCATATATGGGAGTGTGGTAATGGGGTAAGGCCAGAAAGAAGTTTTAGCGGCCCTGGAGTTATATACAACTGCACTACCAGGGCTACCTGCCCCTGCTTCAGGAAGAGCCTCTAGGCAAGAGAGTCCTGTAAACTTCTGCTCTTTCTTCTCTTTCTTCTGCATGAATGCTTTAAGAAAGAAGAGCCAAGTTTAAGCAGAACACTCTGGCAAAACTTTTTACATTTGGTTCATGCTTGGGCTACTCGCTACCTTCAGAGGTTGGCAAACTACAGGTGGTGGGTTAAACCTTGCCAGCCACTTGCTTTCCTAAGGTTTTACTGGAACATAGCCATGCTCATTCATTTACATATCGCCCATGTCTACGGTGGCTTCTGTGCTCGAATAGTGGAGCTGAACAGTTGGGATAGGGACATAGGAATCACAAGCCTAAAATAGGTGTTATCTGGTTCTTTATGGAAAAAGTTTTCCATGCCTATCCTAGGAGGTTCTGGGAACAAGGAGGTTGAAAAACTGTTGTAATGATTAAGAAGCTTGTAATTTCTCAGCAAGTGTTCAAACAGATGACAGAGAAAAAAAATATTTCACATCATATGTTTAAATGGTGCATCCATCTTCAAGTGAGAAAGAATTTCATGTCATCTGGCACTTACCCTTCATCTCCTGAGGCAAGCTCCTTCTGACCAAGCGTCCCTGGCCCCCACGTCCGCCCCTTCTTCTTTGGAGCCCTCTTCTCCTCCTCCTCCCCTTCCTCCTTTGGGATGACTGAGCTCCTGCCCCAGGTTTTGCTGCTTTCACCTGGTGTCACTGTGAATAACAAGGGTTGGACAGGATCTAGAAAATGGACAGACAGGGCTCCCCCAAACTAGCCTCTACACCACCAGACACACACACACATTTGGAGCTGCAGGGAAGTCAGACCTTATCAAAAACTCTGTGCCCAAGTGGAACCTTCCAGGAAAGTAATGGAGTTCTCAGCCATCAATCATTTTGCTCTCTCACAGTATTAAAGATGGAAACACTTCTTCAGTTTTCACAAATCCAATGAAAAGCTAGGGCTTAGGCCAGCCACCAGAGTTCCAAACAGATCTGACTTAAGGAACTTGTTTTGTTGGGTGGGATTGGATTGTGAGCAAATAAGGAGGCAGGTGAAGGGGGAAAAAAAAGACAAGGGGTAAGGAAGGTGTGGAAATGCAGAAATTCTTGGAAAGAAAGGGCAGAGAGGGAAGAAAATGAGGAGTTCAAGGTTATGGCAAAGGAACTCAGGAGTAGGAGAGGGGAAGGAACAGGCCTAGAGTAAGAGAGATAAGAGAGGAGGAATATTTTTCTGACATTAATACCTGGGAGCAAGCGTTGAGACCCAAATGCCCCAGGGATTGTGCTTATATCATCGATGAGCAAAGTGAGATAGTTACCAAAACACAAAGAGTTGAAGGGGCTGAGGCAAAATATGGAGTATATGGAAGCTGCCATAGCCAACTGCAGCCACATGAAAAAAGAAACCCACTGATTTGATTTCATTTTTAAAGGAAAAGTAGAAATCTTGGATTTTTAAATAAAATCTCTCTGACTTTAAATCAGGGAAATGAATTCAGTCACATATAGGTGTATATTCACACACACATACACTTATATGTATGTGTGAGTATATTTTTTTAAGCAAATACTGCAGCAAAGATAAAACTGGTCCAGATTTGGCCTATTATAAAGTCTTTGGCAAGTTTCCTTAGGGTCTATACTTTGAAAACAAAACCCTTTCTTGGGAAGCATGGACGAAAGAAAAACAATGATGCCCCAAATATGACAAAGAGTGTGCTGGGTTCTCAGGCCAGGTAGCAACCCGTATCTACATCACAAACCAGTCTCTAAATTGCTTTGTGAACCACTAAAGATCCCACGAGTACCCACAAATCCCTTTGCTGATATGTGACTAAAAGGTAGAGGAGGCACTAGTAAAGTTAATGGAGAGAGACAAGGGGGAGGGCTAAGGGTTTGCGTACATATGTGCATGTATATACACATTGTCGAGGAGAGGTGGCAGAAGTTATGGATGGAGCAAGCCTGGACCAGTCGGTGGCTGGACAGAGCAGGGGACAGGTGCCCCTGGTGTGTTCTGGCCCCAGCTAATTTGGGAAACAGTCTCACACTGGATGGCTCGAAGACGAGGAATGATGGTGGGACTTGCAGGAGGACTGGAGCGGCTGTTGATAAGACTCTTCCTTTTATCCATGGTTGGGGAAGCCTGCACTGTGAACTTGTGCTGGAAATCTGCTTGGGGAAAGACAAACACGTGTATGCATTAAAATTTCCCATAAGCAAATTCATATAAGAAATCTGACATTCCTCAGCATTCTTGAGGGACAGGCCCCAGTTTCCTGAAAAGCTCTTTGTTCACCTGGGAAATGTTCTCTTTTAGAATCATCTCTTTTTCCCAAGGGACATGGGGAGAGGAATGTATGAAAAGATGGAAAATTCACTGTGCAAGTGAACTTCATTAGTGAGCTTCAGAAAGCTGTCTATATAATGAATATAGATCGAGCAATTATGTACTAAGAATAGCTTTTTAGCTCATGAGATATGGTTGATTATTCTAGGAAACTTAACTTAAAATGATTGGTTTTACATAATCTATTATCAGATAGATTTGGTCCTCTTTACTCAAGGACCGAAGCAGGGAGACTGACTCTCCTCACTAAGTGCAGACAGAGCAGCACATCAACAACTAGCTGTTGTGGGAACCTAGGGCAGTGAGAGAGCTGGAACAAATGGCTCCAATTCTGACACATTCCAAAGGAAGTTACGGTTCAGCATAAAGAATGTAAAACTTTAAGCTCTGAATTTCTGAGTTGCAGTCTCCTCTTCTATCAAAGAGGTATATTAAACAGCTGCCTGCTTGCACCTATATCTCCCCATTAGACTGTGATCTCCCTGCAAGTGGGAACTATAGCTTTTCTATCCGCATCCCAGCATGCAACAATATGCTGGCACATGCTAGATGCTCAAGGGGCGCTTAAAGACTCCATGCTGCCCGAAAAGGAAAAATAAATGTGCAGCAAGGAAACCAGCAAACACAGCTCATGAACATATTCACTCAACTGCACGGAATGAGTTCCTTTATGTGTACTTAAGCCACCATTCTAGTGCTTAACATCATCTGCTCCTGCCCCTATTAGACCATTCTTTCTTTGTTCCTTACACTTCTAATAAGCCTGCTTTCTAGGGCCTTATAGACTTAGAATACAATGAATATTTTTATCCACATCAACACACATTTTAGCATTCAGCTCCCTCCATGGATACATTACACACCACAAAGATTCTAATTCCTAGTTTTATATTTCTTTATATCTTCCCCAAGGCTGTAATATAATAAATGTACCTTTATTCACTTGATGTGTGTGTCTGAAAGGCCACATGTAAATCTTACCATGTAAATTCGTATATACTAAGCCTCTTGGTTTAACCTTATCATGTAAATTCTTATTACATTCAACCTAATCTCAGTTAGAGAACTTATTAAAGAAACCTCGATCAGGCACGGTGGCTCACACTTGTAATCTTGGCACTTTGGAAGGCCAAGGTGGGTGGATCACTTGAGGTCAGGAGTTCGAGACCAGTCTGGCCAACATGGTGAAACCCTGTCTCTACTAAAAATACAAAAATCAGCCAGGCATGCTGGCGCACACATGCAATCTCAGCCACTTGGGAGCCTGGGGCAGGAGAATCGCTTGAACCCAGGAGGTGGAGGTTGTAGTGAGCCAAGATATTGCCATTGCACTCCAGCCTGGGAAGCAAGAGCAAAACTCCATCTCAAAAAAAAAAAAAAAAGAAACTTAGAGACAAGTTATTTTGCAGAGCCAGCACTTCTTGTGTCTCACACATGCACACCATGGAATGCTCCCCCTCAACTTCATGCTTCCTTCTCCAGGTTTGCCTAAGGTGAGATGTGCCCCTGTGAGCCACCAGGCTTCTAGCAGCCTGGACCTTGCCAGGCTGTCCTCACTTTATATTCTGTGTTCACTCACATGCAACAATTTCCCTGGAGTGGGGTAGATTTTCAGCACGCCAGTCTTTCCATTGGACAGAATGGCCCATTTCAAATAGGCTAGATTTTGAGCCCCAGGGTGTCATGTTTCCAAGCTCAGTTGCGGGCTCCCACAAACCCTCTGCCACACCAGCTTCTTGCCCTCCTCCAACTTCCCAGCCAGTTCCTGGCCACTGACCGGAAGGAAGGCTGATGCGGTTGCCGTCCTTGAGCTTCAGCCGGCTCTTCCTGAACTTGCCCTTGCGTTTCTTCACCCGGGGCTTCTCCTGGCACAGCTGGTGGATAATGATGTTGAGCTCCCGTTCTAGGATGTCAATCTCCCGCTCGGCCAGCTCCTGCTCCCGACGCCGCAGCAGTTCCTCCTGGTTCTTCTGCTGCAGTGCAGCCCGAGTCAGCTCCTCCTCCCAGGTGCGAAGTTCCTGCAGGATGGGCAGAATCATCAGAGAAAAGACTGGGGTGTTCAGTGCAGAGGGGCACTGGATTGAGGCCTGAGAGCTCCCAGAGGGCTCATGGCAACCTGGAGAGCTCTCCTATGATGCTCAGTAGAGAGAGAGGGGGGACTTGATAGCTGGTAAATGTACACCAGATCACCTTGAATGGTGGGGAAAGGAAGGCTCAGAACAGCCATACTGAGTGGACAGTCAGAGAAGCTAAAGCCATAGGCCAGGCCCGAGAGATGGGGGCTGACAGTTTCTAGTTAATCCTTCCTCCTTCATTAAAATTGCCTGTGATTAAATATAGAGAGAGGTTTGAATAGAAAATATAATCATGTATTTATTTACAGACTTGGTTCTATTTTATTTATTTATTTAGAGACAGCACCTCATTCCATCACCCAGGCTGGAATGCAGTGGCGCGATCTCAGCCCACTACAACCTCCACATCCCTGGTTCAATGATTTTCATGCCTCAGCCACCCAAGTAGCTGGGATTACAGGTGTGTGCCACCAAACCTAGCTAATTTTTTGTATTTTTAGTAGAGGTTAGGTTTTACTAAGTTAACTAGGCTGGTCTCGAACTCCTGGCCACCTGCCTCAGCCTCTCAAAGTGCTCAGATTACAGGCATGAGCCACCGTGCCCAGCCTAGATTTTTCTATTATATAAAAGATGTTTTTTAAACCAGTGCCGACTTAATCCAGCTTCAAATGTATCTACTATACATAAATCCTCCTCCAGGCAACACCTAACGATCAAATAAAAATGTATTTCCAGGGTGGCTGCTCAAAAGGTATGTGAGACATGTCATCTAAATCTTTACGTTCACTTGGGGAATGAATCCACTGAGGTATGTGGTTTCAACTTGCACTGTATCTTAAAGGGCAATGATGTGCTCTGGAAGAATCATGAAAGCATAGCAAGGGAAAAAGAGAACATTTCCTGAGGTCTTTTTCAGGCACTTGCTCTAGAACCAAATTCGGCTGCTGCTCTGTCACACTCCCCTGAAACAAACCATTAATGAGCACAGGAGATGTCACCCCAGAGCAGGCCGGGCCCTTGCAAAACCTGAAGAACAGCCAGTCACACTGCTAGGGGGAAGAGTTGAAGCCAGAAAGCTAGAGGGTGGAACTGGGACAAAGTCCCATTTGGAATTGCCTCTTGTGACCCAAGAACAGTCCCTTTGTCCTGCTCTGAGAATGGAAGTAGGAGCCACATTAGATGGCAGAACCTCTGCCCTACCTCCCCTTTATCCTTCTGCATGAGTTCATAAGTGAGCCCAGCACTAAATTCCTGGAAAGAAGGGAGAGGGTATAGAACAAGGAAACAGGAAAGAAAACAAAGCATGTCTAGAAAAGTTTTAAATCTAGAATTTAAACTGTTCACACTGGTTACCCTGGATCTACGATTAAAGTAGGGTGCTGGGTAGAACTTGAGAGAGCCATGTCTAAAAAAGCAGGATATTTCTTCAATAAAGGAGTCACAGCAACACTTCTGTAGTTGAAACCTAACTTCTCAATGGAATACTCACTAGAAGTAACCATTTCTGGATTAAAACAAAATAGTGTAGAAAGGGAACCAAGAGCTAGAAAACAAGCATGTGAACCCATATTGGAGAAGCTGAGCAGCATGTGAACACTGGAAGAGAGGAAAGAGATCAAGAAATGAATATAATATTCTGATGCTATAAACTCCCCATTCAGCTTGTCTTCCATCCCCATGAGAACGTCAAAATAGCCATAAAAGTGATAGACAAAAAGAAGGCCAGGCGTGGTGTCTCATGCCTGTAATCTCAGCACTTTGGGAGACTGAGGCAGGTGGATCACCTGAGGTCGGAAATTTGAGACCATCCTGGCCAACAAGTGAAACCCCATCTCTACTAAAAATACAAAAATTAGCTGGGTATGGTGGCAGGTGCCTGTAAGTCCTGCTCTTTGGGATGCTGAGGCAGGAGAATCACTTGAACCCAGGAGGCGGAGGTTGCAGTAAGCCAAGATCACGCCACTGCACTCCAGCCTGGGTAACAGAGCAAGACTCTGTCTTTTTTTTTTTTTTTTTGAGACGGAGTTTCACTCTTGTTACCCAGGCTGGAATGCAATGGCACGATCTCGGCTCACCGCAACCTCCGCCTCCTGGGTTCAGGCAATTCTCCTGCCTCAGCCTCCTGAGTAGCTGGGACTACAGGCACGCGCCACCATGCCCAGCTAATTTTTTGTAGTTTTAGTGGAGACGGGGTTTCACCACGTTGACCAGTCTCGATCTCTTGACCTCGTGATCCACCCGCCTCGGCCTCCCAAAGTGCTGGGATTACAGGCGTGAGCCACCGCGCCCAGCAAGACTCTGTCTTAAAAAAAAAATAAAAAATTAAAACAGTGATAGAAAATAAATGAGAAAATAATTAGCACATTGAAAAGTGTCTGGCACGTGGTAGGTGTCCAGTGGCTGAATAACTATCAAGTCAATAAATTAATGAATAGAACTAATAATAGGAGACTGAGTGCAATTTTATGAATGCAATCCTTCTTTATGGGAACACAGATTTATTGTAAGTTCCGGAGAGTTGAACCTGAACTTCTGAACTACTTCTTCCTTGATGAAATAAACCTCACACTAATTGTGCGCCCTCCAAATCCTTTGTTTCCCTGTCCCATGACTTTGTTTTCATTACCAAAAGAACAAAAATTCATGGAAGATGTAGAAAAAATATTCCTCTTCGGTTTATTTTGCTGTTATGTGTAAAAGTTTAAAAGTCAAAGCTAATTTCAAGTTTTCCAAGTCATCATCTCCTGCATGCTCTTATCTAAGGGATGTTTAGCTCTAAGCCTCTCTCTTTAATGGAATGCAAATACCAGATGACACCAATGCATTCTCACAATAATACTCAGAAGCGGTAGGTTGATCCAACCTGAGGAATTAGCTGAATCACAGGGTAAATCAGGATATTTGTGGAGTATATGCCTATGACACCATTCACCTGGAAGACACTCAAACATGGTGTGTCTTCTACTTGGGCAACACCTATTTGGGTTGCACAGTTTGCAAATCACATATTCCACATACAGAATGAGTTAAGAAAAATCTCTCCAGAGAGAAAGCTCATTATACATCTTACTCTCACTTACCAAACAACAAGCCTTCTAATAGAGAGACATCCTAGCATCGTGGCTAAGAGCAAGGACTCTGGAACAAAGTGCCTGTTCAGGTCCCAGCTTCACCATCATTACAGTGTGGCCTTGGGCAAGTTAATATGGACATCACATGTAATATGGAGTTAATAGCACTGACATCATTGAAACAGACAACTATTATCTTATTAAATAAGATAATTCATATAAATTATAAGGAAGCATGGCGCACAGCACATGCTGTACAAATGTTAGCTTTTATAAGAATGAATTTGACTCCTGGTGACTACTTACTGACAAAATCCAACCTTCATTTTTCTTACTGGCTGTTACCCTTATAATTTCATCAATTAAAGGAAAGATAATCAAGAGTCAGTGACTCAGCAGTCAAAACTAAACAAAACTAAACAAAACAAAAAATGGTCAGCAACTCCGGGGATTCTTCTAGCTGGAATAGTATTTAGTGAGAGGAAGAGTCTTTGGTAATCATTCTGCTCAACAGTCAGTGCAGGTCCACCCACCAGGGTCCCTAAAGAGTCATTTTAAGTTTGCTCCATTCTTCTAGAGAATGCTTTTTGACCTGGCAAACAGTAATGTGTTCAGAATTGCCATATTCCATAAAAAGAGTTTATTAACTTCAAATCAGCTCCAGAAATTATGTGCAAGTCATTTGTGTAAGGGAACAAAAATGATATTTGATATGGTTTGGCTGTATCCTCACCTAAATCTCATCTTGAATTGTAGTTTCCATAATTTCCATGTGTCCTGGGAGGGACCAGGTAGAGATAATTGAATCACGGGGGTAGTTTCCCCCATCCTGTTCTTGTGATAGTGAATTCGTTCTCACGAGATATGATGGTTTTATAAGGGGCTTCTCCCTTCACTGGGCACTTATTTTTTCTTCTTCCTGTCATCATGTGAAGAAGGGCCTGTTTGCTACCATGACTGTAAGTTGCTGAGGCCTCTCCAGCCCTGTGGAACTGTGAGTCAATTAAACCGCCTTCCTTTATAAATTAACCAGTCTTGGGTGTGTCTTTATTAGCAGCGTGAGAATGGACTGATAAAATATTACAAAGAATATAGGTTTTTGGAATCAGAAGACCCACATTCAAGATTCTGCTTTTCCACTTACTAACTCTGTTACTTCAGGCAAGTTGCCAATCCTCAGCTCTGAGATGGAAACAATAATAACACCTGTCCTACACACTGATGGCAGGAGCCACAGGACTTCCGGATAAAACCAATAAAAAAGGTTTCATCAAACTTTTCAAGTGGAAAAAGTGGGAAACCATAAAGCCATAAACAATTTTAGCTATCATTATTATCATATGGCTATTAACATCCCAAATTCCCATAGTGCAGAGTGAGAAAAGAAAAAAGAAATTAACCAAATCTATAAAGACTTCACTTTTGCCCCTGGCTACATCCCTTAGATTTAGTTCTGCGCCTATATAAGCAATATAGCTGCATGTGACTGGCTTCACCTGTGTGTATACTGACTGCTAGGGGACACACTGAGGGAATGGAAAGGGGCCAATTAGGGAATGGCCACCGAAACAAAAAGACAGATCTCTGGTAGGGTAGGAGTCTCTGAACTCCCTGGTTGGTTTGAGCTTGAAATACTTTTCATAAAAACATGAAAAATGCCACACAATTTCAGACCCATGGTATTTTTAGCTGATATTCTATTTCTGATTCTGATGTCAAAAAGACACTGGAGGATGTTCTGATAACTATCCTCAAGGTTGAAGTGTCCCTGTATCAAGTTAACCTTCCTCTAGAAGTCCATTAGAGAATCATGAAATATTTCCAGAACCTCTCATATTTCCAGCTGGCAGGGTGAGACATCCCACTGGTAACTGTTCTTCTCTGGTTCAGACAATTAAGTAGACACCAAGCAGGAAGGTGGGCATGCTAGAATCAGGGTGGTCAGTCAGACCCAGTCCAGAGGCCCCAGTGGATGAGGTCTACTAATTCAATGCATATCTTTTTTCTTTTCGTTTTGTTGTTGTTGTTGTTGTTGTTTTTACCTTTTCTTTGGCCCTGAGTTGGTCAAACATCTCCTGAATCTCATGTTTCCAGTCATCCTGCAGGCAGTGGAAGGAGTCCTTGGGCATTTCAAAGAAACCAGACTCCTCTATGGTGGTTAGCTGGTCCAGGATATTCGTGAAAGATGGTCGTGAGTGGGGATCAGGGTTCCAACAGTCTGAACAGAACATGCGGATACACAGAGAGTATGAGTGGATAGAGGCAAACATATAAGACTTAGGCTATTACATGGCCTCACTTTCCAGAAAACTACTTCTTACTTCTTCCAGAAACAGAGATCAGAACTTAGATAACCTGAAATAGGGCTCAGGAAGTAAACCAAGCTGCCCACCATTACAACCATAAAGAGTGAAAATGGAAATAAGGTGCAGCAGTTTGTTATTCATTCCATTCTGGCTGTTAATTAAGAATAAGAAAAGTGAGCCCAAAGAGTTTTCTTGTACAAAGCACTGCCATAACACAATTTACCACGCTACTACCTGATTCAAGAACAATGAGGAACCATGCCCTGGGCCTCAGTTTCCCATAAATAAACGAGTTAGCCCTTCTCCAACCACAATGGGGTGATGAGGAGGAGAGGATGAAAAGCATTCTAGTGGGAGTCAGGGAAAGTGAATTCTACCTAATCGCAGCTCAGCCACTCCCTAATGGGGCGGCCACCCATCTACTCAACTTCGCTTAGCTTTAGTTTCCTTACTTACAAAATTATGGGGTTTGACTAGATGACTTTTAGAGTTCCTTCTCCTCAGATGTTCTTCACTTCTCTTAAGGCACTCAGAGGTCCTGACATAAAAGTTGCTATATTTTCTGATTTTGCATTAGATAAGAATATGCTGAAGTAGTGCCTTGCAGGCTTTTGTTACTAATTTAACTTCTACCGTCCCTGCAGATGTGACCCGCTTGAAGCAGGGTGTGGACGTCATCTTGAAGAAGATAGTTGCCCATAGGATTCCTCCTTAGGTGACTAAAACTTTATCACCTCTTTCAATAATCAATCTCATAGAATTGGCCAAACTTTACCCAGTGCTTATAAGAAAGCAAAGTGTCTCCAGCTTGGTTCAGACCAGGGGTTACTTACCTTCCATGAGTTTGGCAAAAGGTTCTGGGCATGTAGAAGGAATAGGAAGGGCGAGTTTGTTCATGGCCACTCCATAGGCAACTGCTAAGCCATCAATGCCTCGAAAGGGCACCTCACCAGTCAGCAACTCCCAAAGCAGCACCCCATAGCTAAGGAGAGGAAGAAGACAGAAGCCATGTAATAAACCTCAGGTACAACTTAACTCCAATAGCTCATGAGGCTTTTCTGAGCAGCCCACATTCTCCCCAACATATAGCAAGACTAATGAAATAGAAATACTAATGTGATCATAAAGGGAAGCCATAAAGCCTACTAGCTAAAAGCAAAATCTCTGGAGTGAAGAACACTAGGTTTTCGAGTATTCTTCCATACTTCCTTACCTATATGACCTTGCGCAAGGTACGCCTCTCTAAGCCTCTAATTCCTCATCTGTAAAGCACAAATAACACTATCAGTCTGGCTAGGCTAATGTTTAATTAAATGAGCTACTATAATGTTTTAATAAGTGCCCAATGGCCATAGCTCTTTTGTTATCCTTATTGTTTTTTTGTTTTTTGAAATGGAGTTTTGCTCTGTTGTTCAGACTGGAGTGCAGTGGCGCAATCTTGGCTCACTGCAACCTCTGTCTCCCGGGTTCAAGAGATTCTGCTGCCTCCACCTCCCGAGTAGCTGGGATTACAGGAGTGCGCCACCATGTCTGGCAAATTTTTGTATTGTTAGTAGAGATGGGTTTTCACCACATTGGCCAGGCTGGTCTCTCAAACTCCTGACCTCAAGTGATCCTCCTGCCTCAGCCTCTCAAAGTGCTGGGGTTACAGGCATGAGCCACCACACCTGGCCTATTGTCACTATTATTAATGAAATAAACTGGGAGAAAAGACAGCCTCCCAAGTATAAATTTTTTTGTTTTAAGAAAACTTCAGCTTTTGTCACAGATACATTTTTTTCCCCAAAGTGCTAGGATTAACAGATATATATATTGTTTTAGCTTTATAAAAAGCAGAGAGCTAACCACTGAAAGCAGATTTTGTTCTATAAAACATTTCTTTACTTTGGGAGGCCGAGGCGGGTGGATCACGAGGTCAAGAGATCGAGACCATCCTGGTCAACATGGTGAAACCCCGTCTCTACTAAAAATACAAAAAATTAGCTGGGCATGGTGGTGCGTGCCTGTAATCCCAGCTACTCAGGAGGCTGAGGCAGGAGAATTGCCTGAACCCAGGAGGCGGAGGTTGCGGTGAGCCGAGATCGCACCATTGCACTCCAGCCTGGGTAACATGAGTGAAACTCCGTCTCAAAGAAAAAAAAAAAAAAGATTTCTTTAAATGCCCACTAAGTTGAATAGATTTCTGTGGGCCCGGATCAGTGTGAGTGGGTCCTTAACCAAGATCTTTGTCTAATTCAAAGGGAAAAGTTTCACAAGGGTAGACCATATCAGTAGAACAGAGCAGCACATCAGCTGTGAGAACTTCAGTGTGCCCTCTCTATCTTTCAAGTCCACACAAAGAATTTCTTTTCTCGTGTCCCATGAGTCAGTGAATGTGGAGTACAAAGCTTAATGAAAGAATTAGTCTGTGAATTCACCATCAGAACCAGACACAATCACACAGCACTCGGTCCTTCCAGGAATAAGTCAAGACAAGAAACCATATGGCTATGAATAGTTAGAAGAATGGCTCTCCTTATGTTTTCAACACCAAACTCAACAATAGTTTTGCAACCAGCAACAAAGGTCATATTAATTTAAAAAATAATAATAGGCTGGGCATGGTGACTCATATCTGTAATCTCAGCACTTTGGGAGGCCGAGACAGGCGGATCACTTGAGGTCAGGAGTTCAAGACCAGCCTGGCCAACATGGTGGAACTCCATCTCTACTAAAAATACAAAAATTAGCCAGATGTGGTGGTGCATGTCTGTAATCCCAGCTACTGGGAAACTGAGGGAGGATGATTGCTTAAATCCAGGAGTCAAAGGCTGCAGTGAGCCAAGGTTGCGCCAGTGGACTCCAGCCTGGGAAATGGAGTAAGACTCTGTCTCAAAATAACTAATAATAATAATAATAAACCCAGTAGCTTCTTATTATGAAACCTCATATGTGAAGAATGCTGAGGTATTTTACAAAGATCACTGTGTATCTCTACAACAGTTACGATAGGTATTATCAACATTTTGCACATGAGGAAAGCAAGTTTTAGACGTGTTTAATAGCATATTACTAAGGGCATACACAGAGTACATCATGGTGGGCCCAGACCAATTCCCAATTTCTTCTCCCTAGAATGCCCTCTACCATTTCTCTGCTTGGTAAACTCTAATCATCTTTCAAGATCTGACTCAAATGTCTCACCATTTATTCATTCATCGGATGATGGCTTTACCCCAGTGAGGCTTTCAAATACTATCATTTTCTTTAAGCATTTTGCCAGGAAAAAACAAAAAGCCTAGTAGCCAGTTGGTCTTGATTTGTCTAGACAAGGAGATGGATTTTAGTTTGGAGGCTGATGAGAATAGTGTTGGACACTTTAGGATGCCTTTCCAACATCCCCAGGTGTTACTCAGCTGTTTGGGCTGCCATATATTGTAGTTGTTTGTCTGCCAGCCTATGGGCTCCTAAAGAGCAGGGAGAGTTGTTTTTAATCTTAGCATTCTCAGGGCCTAGCCCAAGCTCTGGTACACAGGAAACACTCATAGATATGTGAGTGGGTGGGTGCGTGGGTACAGAAGTGAGTGCTTGGTCAGACAGTCCTGCAGGCTAGAGTAAAACCCAAACACCATCAAAACTGCAGTTTCCTGAGAAACCTTTCATGTGACTTATCCAGGTAGTGGTCATGCTGGGGAGCCTCTACCAAGTGACCTCCAGGAACTCTCAGCCCTGCTGACCAGATTCTTAGGTCAGAGCCACTGTTATCCTCCATTGCTTGCTCTTGGAATTAATGCCCACCTCCAACCTGGAGAATAAAAACCAAAGGTCGCACAGAGCCCTTTTCTCCTAGCCAGGCAAAGACGGTTGGTATCTGGACCCTAACTACCTGGAAAGATCATAGAGTGCTTCAAAGACCCAAATATGTCCTGTTTGTGTCCCTGCAACCTTTCTGTGACAGTTTTCACACTGAGCTCTAAGCGTCCTGTGAAGGTGTCTCAGACCACCTGGAAGCAGTCGGGAGTGGGGTGGAGAGGGGACTGGGACTGGCCCCATTATCTCCAGCCAGGGCAGCTCTACTCTTACCTGGCCTGTTTCTTTGTTCGTCTGCATTCTATCCCATTTCAGGGGTTCCACAGCTAAAAGGAATGTGAGAACATAGGCAGAATGCTACCAGAGAAAGATCTAAACAGACTTGAGTCAAATGCCTGGATTCTCTTAACAGCTATGTGCCCTTAGGGAAGCAAGTTCACCTCTCCAAACCTCAGTTTCCCCATCCTGACAACAAAGACAGCAATACTGACCTTGCAGAACTGTTACAAGGAATCACTAACACCAACAACTACCCCTTGTCCAGAAATTACCATCTATGACTATCTATGGCTAGCAGCACTGTGGCTTCTTGGACAGGGCCTGAAATGAGAATGTGTCTGAGGAGGCTTATGTCGAGCTACAGTGTTGGTAACAGCTGAGGGACACTGGCATTCAGAGAAGAAGGCTTTCTGAGGCTGACTAAACTGGTTTTCCTCTGCCAATGTCCCTCTTTATCTCTACAATGGAAGGCGGGTGATATAAATGAAGACTTGGTATTCCGTTGGCAGGAAAAAAGACTGCAGAAATTAAAGAGAAATAAAAGTTTACATGGATCTAAGCTCCGGGGAGAGGTGGACAGTAGGGATTTACCTGAGGTTTAGCCAACTTAGTTCCCCTCCAAAGATTAAAAGGTCAATAAGTCCTTTGACGACCATCTGCAAGCAGCCTGGAAGAACCCACTCAGCTAAGTCATCACTGCCTCTGAGTCCCCGCTCAGCTAAGTCACTGCCTCTGAGTCCCCGCTCAGCTAAGTCACTGCCTCTGAATTCCTCCCCACAACACAGACCCACCAGCTCCCCCAGTGCAGCCAGTAATTTCCTAAAAGCCCTCACTGCCTAACCCAATTCTCAGAGGATTTACTCTTGAGTCAATAATTAACCACCTCCCAAGGCTTGGTAATCCCTTCAACCATTTCCTAGAGTCAGAGGTGTAGGAGGGGTATTTGGTTTTTTTTTCCAAGTGAGGAAAAGTAGACAGCCACCTTTCTTGACAAAAGGCACAGCAACTTCATGCTTGTCCTGGGCCAGAGCTCTATTTCATAGTAACCTGTACCATCTCTAGACTGTCAGCTCAGCTCAGGGTCCATGCACTGAAAGGAGGGGACCAGTCTCCCTTGAATGAGGTGGGCTGAGGAATGTCTTGAACTTGGTAATTATCTGTGACCCCACATTCCACATTCCAGGAACCACACTGTTTAATAGTCTTTGGCAAAGATAATTGAACTGATGTATGTGAAAGGGCTTTGTAAACTGAAAGTAGCATGTAATTCTTTTTGTTATGAACTGAACCCTCATTCAAAATGATATTTATTAACATATATGTAATATATATATTGATAGACTTACTGACATAACAACATATTTATTAATGTGGTAATATGTTCATGCTATATTACATTCAAAAAGCAACTTACAAAACAGAGAGATCCCACTAGGGATAAGCAGACGGGCATATGAATAGGAGTAAACACACCAAAATATCAATACACATTATCTCTATAAGTGGGTTCATGGTGATTTTCTTTCCCTGTCTCTTCTTTCTTGTTTATACATATTTTCAAATTTTTTTTCTATAGAAAACATTTTACTATTGTAATTTTTTAAACTTAAAATGATTAAGAAAATGCCTCCACCTCATCCCACATCCAACAGGCAAGAAGGTCTTGTGGGACAATGCCCTCTGACTGAAGCCACTGCTGTACCCACACAGCACAAAGAAAGGTAAAGATTTCAGCAATAGCCTTCTTGAGGCAGTCCCCAGTCCAAGCAGATTGGGAAACTTACATAGTTGAGAATCCAGCCCTTTATCATCTCACCCTCCATCACAGCAGGAGAACTTTAGAAGCACACTCAAAAAGCAGGACGACAAACCAGTTGGTCCTGGGCACTATGGAATAGCAGAGGCGCAGAGGCC